TTTTTTTTTTCTTTTTCCTTTTTTTTTTTCTTTTTTTTTTTTCTTTTCCTTTTTCTAATCGATCGACACGGGCGACCTGGACACCAAGAGATTCGTCGAACGAGTAATTAAGCGAGGAAATGGGCGTTCGTCTTGGGAAAAGGAGCACAATCATTGTAATCTTCGTTTTCTTTTTCTTTTTTTTTTAATCCAAAAGAAGATCGTTTTTTTATCAATGGTCGTGTCTCCGTTTCCCCGATCGACCTCTCGCGTCTCGCATCGCATTGAATCGTCGTCCACGAAAATTCATCGGTCTTTTAGATACTTTGCAGCAGTTAGTTAACGAAGAAGATTAGATGACGCGTCGCTTGTTGGACGTTATGTTACACGAAACGTGAGCTGATTTCTTCTCTTTTTTTTTTTCCTCTTATAAGCTACATCTTTCATATTGCTCACGTTGCAATTAAATATCAAGATCAATATCAATATCATATAATTTTTCTTTAATATAAGAAAAATAATAATAATAATCTCGTTGAAATTGAAACGATCAAATTTCCTTGATGACGCCACGAATTTAATATCGACATTTCGATATATCGCGTAATGAGCCGGCAAAAGATAATTATCGAATAGGGGTGCTCCGATTCGAGTAACATAAAATCACACCAAGCGTTGTATCTACAATTCTTACGATAGATGCTTGTCGAAAAAGATCCTCTGACATCCTTGATCAAAGGTAACGAGCGTAACAACTAGGCCGTGATGCATCGCGTTTCGAATTGGCGCGATAACCTAATCGTCAGAGAGTGGCTCGCTCTATCGGTTCGAAACGCAACTATCTTTCGCGCCGGCGCGAATTTTAAAATTTTCCTTGCCTCTCCTCCGTTACTTTCTTCGTTCCATTCCTTTCTTCTTCTTCTTCTTTCTTCTTTTTCTTTCTCTTTTTGCTTCATTCGATGTACAACGTCGAAGATGAGCAAAAGATATATATATATATATTTTTTTTTTTCGAAGAAATCGTATCATCGAACATCGGATCGAATTTCGATCCACGACGCTCGAATTACATGCAACGAAGTGAATGTCAGAGGGGGGGAAAAAAGTATGCGACGAACGTGTATGTCCGTCGTCCGCTGGCTCGTCGTTAATTCGTTCTATCTAACACAGACACGAGAATAAGTAAAATCCTAGTAGCCCGGAGACAGCACCTCCTCCTCCTCGTCCTCCTCGTCGTCGTCGATCCCCGGCTCTCCGAGCGCGTGGACGAATTCTGAAAACAGGAAGACCCTTTCTTGTAATATAATATATATATATGTATGTACGTATGTATAGGCAACCGCGTGTTCTTAAAGACGTCGCAAAAATAGATAGGTTTGTCGATACGATTCACATTTCGTCCCTACTTTTCCCTCCTTTCGAAAACGATAACTTCAAATTCCTCCCGTAGAGTTGGAATAGGATTACGAAAACTTACGGGTTTCGAAAACTTTTTCATAGAATAGAATTATAAAATAAAATTCCTTGTACAGCCGGTGTTCGTAAATAATATATATTCCCGGCAAACTCGATATATGTAACGAATAGTATGTAACGTACGAGGAAAGTGTCGGAGATTAGATCGAACTGCAAGGATGGAGCAAGGAAGAACGAGATAGTTTCTTGGAACCCTAATGCCACGACGAATCAAGCGTCCCTCGTCCGTCGTTTCGAGAAATAAGGATTGGAAAATTACACGAAAATCTTTGGCGCCGAGCCATCTTCGAGGAAAAAAGCAGGGGGAGGGGATAATCGTGATCGAAACGTTCATCGTAGATGGCGGTAATGCACGTTACCCCGAGAACACGGAGCGATCTATCGAATCTACGATACTCGGAAGGGCGGAGGATGCAAATGGCGGAAGATCGAAGCGATTTTTTTCGTTTCGATTACAATTTCAACCCGATGTCCGATACTACTTCTCCGATCCTCTTTAACTTTATGTAGCCAATATTCCAAGATTGTCGATCTTGTCTCCAACGGTATCCCTTATCTCCAAATTCTTTCGCGTGTTTCCACCCAAAATTTTTCCACCCCTTCACCGTTCTCAACAGAAGAAAAAGCATATCGAGAATTCCCGGCTCCTCGTATTTTTCGATTATTAGAAACTTGTATGGGGGGATAGGGCTTACCGTAGAAATCGATACGACCGTCTCCGTCCACGTCCACTTCCTTGATCATATCCTCGACTGAAACACAAAGAGAAAGGCAGCTTAAGTTTTGTGTTTCGTGGCACGATTTGAAAATTATCCGAGGGGTAAATCGAGCGAGCAGGGCGGAAATGAATATAGGGTTTTCAGTTTTTTTAGAAGAAGAAAAAATTCATGATACTTTCTTACTAGTTTACGTAACTAAGTATACTATATTTCACAGTGGAAATTTTATTATCATCTATTCTATCTTTTATCGTTTCGTTTTTTTTATGACGATGGCTAGAAAAATGTATAAAATAAAAATATAAAAAGTATAAAAAAAAAAGATATAAAAATATAAAACTTTCACTGTACTGAGAATCATAAGCGATAAAAAATACAACTACTATCAGTTACGTAGAATGCTATCAGTCCCTGTAACGAGAAAAAAATATTTTATCGATTTTTTTTATTACTATTACTTCGCACGTTTGTATAAATTCCCCTCGATTTTGCACGTATGTTGCCTAGAGTGTTGTAATATCGCATCGGATTGAAAGCCGATTAGATCGATTGTTAATAGCTTGTCTCAGGTATTAATATCTCCGCCATTAGCGCGCGTGTCATCATAGGATGACATTCACCGACGCGGAAAATATTGCATTTAGCTTGATTAAAGTCACCCATGGATCGTTCGTATGCTAATTGACGAGGCAAAGAGCGGCAATTTAATTTTTCCCCGGCCACCGTCCGCCCCCTCCCTCCTCCCCAACTCCGTTAAAATCCCAAGTATTAGCGCGCGAAACACGCGTGCGATTAATAATTCCACGGGCTGCGCTTGCCCCCGTGCTAAAAACACTTCGATATAATGTAACCGCTTTGCCCCCTCCCCTCCCCTCGAGTGACACGTGTAACGCATGGAAAAAGTGGGAGACGACAGTGGCGCGATCGTGAATTTTAATTCCATTCGATAAATTCGATTAATTCGACCGAGTTAATTCCGTTACCGCAAATTTTCGCGTTAATCGTTAAATTTTCCCCTCCCTGATTCTCTTTTCTTTTTTCTTTTTTTTTTTACGTTTTAATCGAATTCTTCCCCAAGGATTAATCTTAATTCGGATTGGATTTGAGTGATTGTAATTAAGCTGCAATCTCGTAATTATTTCGAAGCTTTCGAATCAAGTTGAGTTGAAGATCGAAGATTTTATTTATCGCAAATAGGAGTCATTTCTCTTTACACACGGGGAGATGCTAAGTGTCAAGTATTCCCTTCGATTTATTCGATCGTACTAGTCTCGATTACAATTGATAATCTCAATGGGCGAACGCAACCACCTGCGTTGTTGCGAATTTCCCATGATCCTCCCCGGACGATTAATATTGTACTCCATAATTCCCTATTAATTCTAATCACGATCACTTCAAGTTTGCCAAATAAGCCGAAGAAAGTCTCGAGAGACCCACGACCCAGTAAAGTTTCCTCTTTAAAACTGGCTCAACTCGACTAAAAACGTAGTCGAGTACGATATTCTTTTCTTTTTATACGTAATCACAATTTGAAACATCGATTTCAAAAGAATTCAGAACCCTCTTTTCCCTGTTCCCTCTCTTTCTAAGTATATTCTGCTTTCTCCCGCGGTAACTAGATCGCGGATTTTTTATTCGGTTGAAACAAAAAGTACAATATTCAATTTATATAATTATATATATATGTAAATCAAAATTAATATTTATCGCGTAAATTTATTTACATAAAATTTCTCGAATATCATAATACACGATGTATAAAAATAATTTTTTCATGCCCTTTTTTTAAATAAATTGTTTACCCGTTTTTATTTACCCGTATAAAATTGAAAACGTATAATACATTGTTGTTTCAGTATCGTATTGATCTTTTCTGGCTTTATAAATAAACCATTCAGTACATCTCAATGATATATTCACTTTTCAATGATATATCAATATATCGTTACGATTAAATATATCGTTCCGATTAAATATATTCAATTCATTATATTCAGTTATCGTAGTTACGTAAAAAATATCGAAGGAAGAAAACGTACAGCGCGTTCAATCATATTTATTCTTTTTACCTAAAATTAAACTTTTGTCGAAAAAATACATCAAACAAAATATATAAAAAAAAAAATATATATATATAAAGAAACCACTACCTAATAAAGACGACGCAAGGATTATAGAATGAAGTGATTTTCTCGAAGGGCACGGCCATTATCGTAATCAACTTGGTGGCCTAGGGCAATTATTAATACGTACACAGAAATACGTGTACGGCACAAATTGATTCCGGTCAATTAGTAACCCCATCCCATATATTGGACGGATTATTACGTTACCCAGGTATAGATGGAGATGAATGGGGAGTATACTCGCGCAATTTACCATCTTGCGGCACGGCCACGATGTATTAACGCAACTCTGGACAAATTCTGGCCGAGATGCCTCGCCGAGATTGAATGAAACTTCCGCCCGGAACCGGGACCGGAACCGGGGATAATCTCATTGTTTTTGCGCGGTCGAGCCGAGTTTGTTAGCTCGCCATGACCAGAAAAATACGCTATCTTAATCGTAAAATTGTCGATGATACAGGATCTGATAAAGAGGTGAAGAAAAATCAATCGAGAGGTTAGAAAGAAAAAAATA